GGGATGGATGGATGGATGGATGGGATGGATGATTGGAAGGAAGGAGGGAGAGAGAGAGGGAGGGAGGGAGGGAGGGAAGGATGCATGGATGGATGGAGGGAAGGATGCATGGATAGATGGACGGACGGACGGACGGACGGATGGATGGATGGATAGGTGAGTGGATCAATGCATGGATAGGTAAAAGGGTGGATGCATGGATGGATAAATGACAGGATGGGTGGACAGAAGAATGGGAAGACATGATGAGACACGTACGGACGGATGGAGAAACAAAAGGAAGAATGAAATGAACGGACGGATTGCAATGTTTACTAACTTCACTCAACAGCAGTCCATTACTACCATTCAGCTTCAGTAACCTATTAGATGATGTCACGACTAACAGTTGATTGAGTTCTGGCGTAGCGAAGGCAACCATTGTTGCTGTGTCTATATGAGCACGTCCTGGTGATGCCACTGTAGTGATATCGACTCTCAGCACCTGTTGGGATCATATATAGCTCTTATTAACCGAGTGCAAGGTCTGTTCCGTAAGTTATGCACCCCAAATTGACAAATCAACACACGTGAAATAGTTCCTTTCACAATTCCCTGCGTTATCTTGAAAGGTAGCCGTGCCTTTGCATCGTAGCGAGACGAACTGTGAGTTTGCAATTATAGATACCTTGTTTTTTATCAACACCTTGGACAATTATTCATAAGTCTCTACCATTGCAAGGCACAGCTACCTTTCAAAATGGCGCAGGGAACTGTGAAAGGGACTATTACCTTGCCTTATGATAAAACCACTTAATGGATTAAGAGAAGGTCATAAAAAACCCTCCCCTTTCCTTTGAGAAGTGTACAACATTCCAAAGATTTGCAGAACAAAAAAACAGCAATCCAATAACTTTACGTTGCTACTATTTGCAGATGAAAAAAGGAAAAAGGAAATGAGCGAGTCAAAAGACCTTCAGTTTTTGCAGGGGGTGCACGTGCACCCAATGCACCCCCCTGTACAACCCACCTACTATCTTAAAATAATGATGCGTTTCCTCAAAAAAAAAATATCAAAAAAAAAGGTAAACGAGGATAATATTACATTAGTTACCTCATCTAATGACCTCGCATCCACAACACAAATAGTGTACTCTGAAGGACCAATAAAGGCCAGTCTCTTGCTGTCATGACTGACCGACAGAGCATTGGGTCCCAGGTCCTCATTTCTTGGTGTCATGTCCAGTAGCATACGTACCAAGTCATAACTGTCGTTACCAGCAGAGTACATGGCTAACGCCCCTGTAAGCAGATATACAGCATTTTTTATTTTACTATATGTTGTATTCTTTTACACGCGCGGTGTAAGAATTGTACGCCCCTGTAAACAGATAAACAGCAGTTATTATTTTACTATATGTTGTATTCTTTTACACGCACGGTGTAAGAATTGCGCGCAACTTGGTGGAGACAGAGTTTTCCAGGAATGTCACACACCAGATTCCTTGCGACAAAACTATCACTTTGAAGGGTTTTTCCCCATGGTAAAACGCATTACGCTTAATTCGATCTGTGAGTTAGCCTTACTCTGACTAGGATCAATAAAATTGAGATGGGGGTTGAGGGGAACGCTAACCAAATATCTCCGAATAATAGTAACCTCCCACAACTGCCAGGAATGTTGTAGCAATCGTATGATAAAATTTGTCGCGTACGACATTGCAGAAGCAGAAATCGATTCAATTTCTTGACGTTCCTGGTGGCTTTTGAACAGCGAAAAGCTGCAGATTCAGCTTCGGTTTAATGTATTCCCCATTTCAGACCACGTGTCATTCTCTTGAGAATAAGATTCTTTGTTCGAGTTGCATCCATATTCATGTGTCTTCTTATCTACAACCGTTAAACAAAGAAATCATATTCTAGGGAATAACGTGTGGTCTGATAATGGAAAAACATGCCCGAAGAATCTTATTCTTTGTTTGAGTTGTATCCATATTCATGTGTCTTCTCATGCGCAACCGTTAAACAAAGAAATCATATTCTAGGGAATGACGTCTGAAATGGGAAAACATGCCCAAAGAATCTTATTCTTTGTTTGAGCTATATCCATATTCATGTGCAGCTTCCTATGTGCAACCGTTAAACAAAGAAATCATAATATATGGAATGACACAGTTCGCGCAACATTTGCACCTTCTCTCATTTCTATAAAAAATGACAGCACACTTACCTAGTGATCCCGAACTGAACAGAAAACCACCATTAGGAGCAAAAACAAGACCTGTCACCCTCCCCCTGTGTTGTTTATGTTCTGCAACAAGATTAGTTGACTGTATATCGAATACTCTCACGGTGCCATCGATGAACCCAGAAGCAAAACAAGTATTAAAAGGATGGAACGCGATTGCGCAGGGTTCTTCTTTAGGCGCCTGGAAGTCATACAGTTGAGTTAAAGTATCCATGTCCCAGATGCGTATAGTGAAGTCAGCTGAGACAGTTCCTATGCGCCGACGTGTGTGGTCTATATTCATGGCGTGGATGGTTTCCGTGTGGGATCTCATGATTGTCTTGTATGACTTGTTGTAGGTGTTGAGAATGCCCAAGTTTCCCTATCAAGAGAAAAAAGGTAAATTATTTTACTTCGATAACATGGGGAGTGGTTGATAAATTCTTACTTTATTCTTCACAGTTAATTCACCATTTTCCATGCATTGGTTCACTTGTCAAACACAAAGCGCTCAAGCGAGGCGCCAAGGTACTTTTAAAGGATTATTCGAATTTGTACCTTGCAACCTCGACTGAATGCTTCGTGTTTAACCAGTGAACCGATGTATGGAAAATGGTGAATTGCATATTTGATAAAACAATATTTTTGAGATTTTTTGCAACCATCGGACTACTCACCAAGCTTGTTCCGGCAAGAATATTACTGCCGTCCCTTGATGGACTTAAAACTGTTACAGGTCCTTCGTGTTCTGGGAAAAGATGCACGGTATGAGGATATAGATAAATGGATGGATGGATGGATGGATGGATGGATGAATGGATGGATGGATGGATGGATGGGTTGGTGGATGGATGGATGAATGGATGGATGGATGGATGGATGGATGGATGGGTGGGTGAATGGATGGAATGGATGGATGGAAAAAAGGATGGATGGAAAAAGGAAGAAAGGAAAGAATGAAGGGAGGAGAGAAGGAAGGAAGGAAGGAAGGGAAGAAGGAAGGGAGGGAGGGAGGAAGAAGGGAAGGAAGGGAGGAGGGAAGCAAAAAAGGAATGAAGGAGGAAGGGAGGGTGGGAGAGAGGGAGGAAAGAAGGAAGGAAGGAAGGAAGGAAGGGAGGGAATGTTGAAGAAATGAGTGAATAAATGAGTAAAGAATAGAAGGAAGTAAAGAATAATTACACAATGTCAGAACACACAAAAAAACAACAACACACTGACCCAACCAGCTATTACTAACCTGCTTCGAGTAAAACCTTAGAAAAGTCAGGAGTCCACATTCTCAAATACCCATCATCCGAGCCTGTAGCACAAAACATCTCATTGACAACCAACACATTGATTGACACCTGATTGTTGCTATGGTGACCACCAATAGGAAGCAGCTTGATAACCCGGTCAAGAACTATCTTGTGGTAATCGATTTGGTATATGGCTCCAGATGTAGTGCTACAATATCTAGATGAAATTTAAAAAAAAGAAAACTGTGATGGGATCGTGCTCTTATTTGGGCAGCATGGGTGGCATTCGCGGCTAACGCGTCGTCTTCACACCGCTGTGAGTCCAACGGGTCGGGTCGTTGCTTCGAGCCCTGGTTCGCCACATGTGAATCGAGTTTGTTGATGTGTTGTTCTCTCTCCTATGCTACGAGGGTTTTCTCCGGGTTCTCCCGTTTCCTCCCTCCGTAAAAATCAGCATGTGAGTTGAGCGTTGTGTGCACAGAATATTTAATGTAGTGGTAGTGTGTGTGAGTGAAAAGTGTCCCCAATAAGTGCGAAAGCGCTAGAACGACTAGACAGTTAAATAAATAAAAGTGATTTTAGTTTTTGCGGAACCGTAACAGCGCCGTGCGGCCAAACATTGTCACGTTGATAACTCAACGATATTATAATCGTAAGCCGCGTTGCAGTCCATAAAGTTCTCAACTGAATTAATACTCTTCCCAGCTGACCGAGCCAGTCATAATTTTTCATCGCCTTCGTAGTGTCTCTCAAATGGACCACGTGATGCCAATGTCATACCACGTGGACAAGTTTTTTTTACACTACGTGATAAAAACTTGACTGCACTTCGGTCACGCGGTGATATTCCTAAATCTTATCCCATATTCTGATTTTTTTAAATCGCCAGAAATATATCAGGACAAGAGAGCATAAATAGGAGAGGTAAAATTCTTGATAACGCGCGCTCCATGTAAATTCCCGGTTGTGTTATTTTTAGTAACCGGATGCAGTTTAAATTTCACCTTACCCTACTCCCGTGCGTCATGAACTTGTGCGCGTGCTCCTTCCATTTCGTTTTTAGAGATCAAAACAATAAACGGAAAGAGCGCGCGCGCGCAAGTTGAATTTACATGGCGCGCGCTTTATTAAGAAGTTTCCCTCTCCTATTTATGCTCTCTTGATCAGGACCTGTCAGGAAAAATGGAATGCGGGAGAGAGCTTACATTTTGTTGGGAGTAGCACTTGATCTTTCTCGTAAGCCGTAGACGATGTCGGTGAACTCGGTCATAGAGTGTTGACGAAGCTCAATCGGACAGGATCGTAACGAGCCATTACGCAGGCGCCAGAAGCGAATATTTTCTTTCCCACACGATAACATTCTAGGAATAAAAAACATACGTAAATGCAAAATGACATTAAACTTTGCAAACAGGATTCAAATGCGGGAGTAATCTTTGTAATTTTAACATTTATTCCAAGATACTAAAAACCTCTCTCCCCGTTATCAATGTCGTTTCCTCTAAAGATCGGTTATACATGAACATTCAACATTGCTTAGGGGGAGGGGGAGGGGTTGGAGGAGAAGATTTGCTTTCTAATAGAATTGGGCTTCCTGGGTTATCCAGTTTCAAGGTATTTTTTTCGCCGATTGCACATTCATGTGGCTTCTCATGCACAAGTATTTCCTATTTCAGACTACGCGTCATTCCCTTGAGTAACATTTCTCTATTTACTGCAATTTCCATAGACATGCGAACTCTCTTTCTCCGCGTTGCACGCTGAAATTTGCTTTTTCGCTGCCCCCAGTCAAAAATATGAAAGGTACCAACTGATTGACGGGAGCGAAAAACTAAATTTCAGCGAGCAGCTCCCAGGCACAGAGTATGTTTATAAAAATTGCAGTAAATAGAGAAATGACACGTAGTCTGAAATAGGAAAATCTTGCATCTTGGGATTTTCTTAGCAATTTAAGGAAAGCTAATTAGCGCATATTTGGTATTTGCCATGTTGTTGTTGTTTACTCCTCAAACCTGCTATCGTCAAAGTCAGCAATTCTCATGCGATTGATGTGGACATCTGTGTGAGCCTTGGCTAGTAAGGACACTTGACCCCCTCTGACAGCTTGAGACGTGTCCCACACAGTAACTAACTTGAAAAAAAGTTGGAAGTAAAAAAACTTGAAGGCAAACAAGACATTAAGGTATCGAGACACGAGAAACACAATAGATATCGCAAAGCCTTGTGGGATCGAAATGCGAACAATGGAAGAAAAAATAATATAAATCGAAAAACCATAGTTCTTCAATGAATCGAAAAAAAAACAAGAAGTCCTACAAAACTTTACAGCTGTATGTTAGCTTGTGCGCTTGGCTTGTCCGCATTTTCATCCCATGTTGCACAATGCGACGACATATGTGGAAAACGATATTGAATCTAAGGATTTACATGTAACTATAGACGGTATTCTCAAGGTTGCGCGCGCATCCAAATTTAAGGAACTTGACGGGCCACGATACCAGAACACGAGTATTATTATGCATTCCTATGAGATTTTCGATAAGAATTGAAAAAATTGATTATTCTCCTTTTTAAATACAAAACTGTCTTCTCAATTTTACTGAATTTGCGTTTTTCAATTTTGTGGCCCGTCAAGTTGGATGCACACGCAACCTTGAGAGAACTGTCTAGTGTACCTGTTTTCCATGCGAGTCTCGTCCCACAGCACAAAGTATATTACCACTGACAGACAAACTACAAAAAAATGAATACAAATAAATAATGAAATAAATATTTGAAATATAACCCAGAGAAAAACCCTCATGATATGGGAAAGTATTACTAATAAATAATAATATTGAAGAAATAGAAAACGTGCACGCGTGGTGTGTGCAGTTATGAAGCACACAGGGGTTGGCAAAACACGAGAGAAGTGTTAGGAGAAGCATGATACGTGGTGGAGTGCTTTTCAATACTTCTAGAGTGTTCTGCCAACCACATTATTCATACAAACACACACACGTACATAAATATATATGTATATATATATGCATAATATATACACTCTATTCTATGTCTTCATCATCGTACAGCGAGTAGTGCACTAACCTGAGGCAGTGTATATCAGAGACTTGTGTTCTGAATAAAGCAGCACATTTCCTGGTCTGGTATTTCCAGATTCTTATCAGGGATGGAGTACCAGCTTGAGCCGATGCTAGAAGGTTAGCAGCACCATCGAAAGCCAAAGCAGATACCTGGAGTATCAAAAGATATGTTAGTATAGGAAAGGCAGAGTCGGGGTCCCCACTTATTATTGACACGCTATTTTCTCTTAAATGAAGTCTGAGTTCCGTGACGTAGAAAAACAGAGAGTTAATCTAAAAAAAATCTAAAAACAATCTACAAAGCTTTCACTGTTGTATCACAGCATGGGACAATCACAATAGAGCTAGTCTCCAAACTAGGTGAAAGCCCAAAGATCAAATTAGAATTTGCCCCCCACTTTAAAAATGATCCCTGGAACAACCTCTTGACTTGTCTAATGGACATGGCTAACTTCAGAGCAAAAAGTTGTCGCTACTCAATAGCCAAACATGATGACCAACCACATTTAACTGATCACCATGTGTCCAGTTAATGTGTGCAGTCAATGTGCCCAGTCAATATGCCCAGTCAATGTGACCAGCCAATGTGTCCAGTCAATGTGTCCAGTCAATGTGCCCAGTCAATATGCCCAGTCAATGTGACCAGTCAATGTGTCCAGTCAATGTGTCCAGTCAATNCAATGTGTCCAGTCAATGTGTCCAGTCAATGTGCCCAGTCAATATGCCCAGTCAATGTGACCAGTCAATGTGTCCAGTCAATGTGTCCAGTCAATGTGTCCAGTCAATGTG